GGTCAGAACTGCCCAAGGGGATGGTGATTGTATTGCTGGTCTGCTTCAGGATGACAGAGCGTAAGTCTGCTTGAGCAGACGGAAGGGATTTATCTATGTAGAGGGACATAAAGGAGAGAATGTTGAGGAACCCCAAGTATTAGGGCTGTATTATCTTATACATGGCATTGATTATTCTTCAGATTCATCTTTTTCTGAAATTCCACAATTTCATTGTAAATTGTTCGAATTGAGAATCAACTTAGGACGCTGTTTATTTTTCTTGGTTTCTGAAGTTGAGTGAATGGAGATGATAGTATGTCTTCAAAGAAGAAATCTTGCAAGTTTTATGATTGCCAGATAAAATGATTGCACGCAGTCTTGCTAGGCGTTAGTCAGGATTATGAGGGTTTAAAATGGCTTGCAAAGTGTAAGTCATTTTATGCTCAGAAGTATTGAAACAGGTTGACCACCTCCATTAGCTAGGCTATAAGGAGCATCTAGAGTTCCGTATGTTTGAAGCAACTTCTTGGTTTTTTTAAATTGTTTTATCTTTCATAATGACCACTGTGTATTCTTGGTTCACTGAACAACGTGTTGTGGAGCTTCTCTACTGACCCTAGAAAACATCTGCTGCAATTTTTAGACTTACTGTAAATGCATTTATGTAATAAATGTTACAAAATGCTTACTGGGGATGTGCAGCAGTTTCTACTTTGTGTACTTCAGAATAGATAAACTGCATTTCATTTCAAATAACTTAATATTGGCTGATGCACAATAAATTGTTCTTGTGTGATTTTGCATTGTATTTCATAGCAGGGACAATTTTTTAAACATCATCTAAATCTAAGCAATAAGGAATTTTGTGCTGCTTTCTTTCAGACTGTCAGAGCAAAGGTTGCTCTAATTTTCAAGTGTATATATGTTTTATATTTTTCCGCAATTATATCTTCCCCTCCCTTTTTTCATTAAGAAAAGATGTTTCGCATGTGTAACTAATTTTACTTATTTTTTCTTCATCAATGCTTTGAGAAAGGCTAAGAGCTTGATTTTTGTTAGTAACTGGATTTTATTCTGAGTGAAATCTCATGTTTTTCTCCCTTTTTAAAACTACTTTTTAAACAATATAATCAACAGTGATATAAAAGTGCACTATGCAATGTCATATTTTCGGCAGTCATACTGGATTGAACTGTAATTAATTGCTGATGCTGAATACACTGTGGTCCTTATTCTCTTTTCATACCCTAGCTTTTCTTTGTGTGTAATAATTCCATCCAGGAAGAAATCTAATTACTAAGATAATTAACACCTTATCACCAAATTAAGTTCAGACATTTGTAGAGTTTATGAATTTTTAAAATATGTAATTTCCTTTTAACTGAGTGACAACTGGTGTTATGGAGAAAAAGCATATTTTATTGTATCTGGCTTGATTGGACCTTATAATTCATGTTGCTATAGAAACAACCAAACCTTTATAAAGGATGGTATTACTACTACCATTTGTAATAAATGCTTTGACTGTTGCCAATAGTGTCATTAAAATGGTTAGAATAACTTCATTATAATGGTTTTGTCAAACATAATGAATGTTCTGTTCATGTTCTGAGAAATGGCAGCTGATGTTATGTGATATTGATTTATAAAGTAATGTACTTTTTCTTCCATAAGCTTACTATTACTGCACAAAATATTTGCAATGTGAACAAAATCATGTTGCAGAATACAGTGCTCCTCTGTTCGCTCAGTCCTTAAAGCTAACAAATTTTATTGTTACCTGATATCAAGCAGAACTTCATATCTTGCAGTTTGTCAGTCTTAAGAAAGCAATGGTAATTGAGGCTGTTTAGCCAACAGCTCGGGGGATTTTTGTTTTCTGTGGAATAGTCAGCTTGTGTTTTCCACTTACGATTATTGGACCAAGTCCTTGAAAGTGTTCAGTTTTATTCAGGTTTTGATTTGGCATTCAAATGCCATGTTTTAACTTCGTCTCAAATGATGGAGTTTGAATTCATGAACTCAAAAAGGAATTGAAATAATTTGGTTTCTTCTGTGGGGATTTTTTCATAAGGAAAACATGAAAGAAGATTCTAATAATATAATGTCTAATAAATTCCTGTGCAGATAATCATACATGCAGACACCTGCAAAAAGGAGGCCAAGACATTAGCTTTAATATAAGCTCATTGCTAATAGTTAAATAAAAAATTAAGTTTAAAAAAAAAATAATCACAAAAGATATTTACTACCATATAGTGTTTGTCTGAAGGCCACTGTGGTGAATATAAGCTACGTACGCGCTAATATTGCACCTAATCAAATTACTAATAACAATATTCTCTGCTTCCCCTTTATTGGGTCTTTTGCCAACAGATTCTCATGTTCCAGTAGAGCTCGTTGTTGCAGGAAGTTTTTCTTTCAGCTGTTCAAACTCAAGTTTCTTCACCCACTGTAACCACAGCATTATTTTTTCGGTGGTGATGTACTGTCTAATAAGAAATGATAGTTCTCTTTGCCCATTCAAATGCTTTATAAATGTCATTTGGATTACATGCATTTGTATTTACAGTTCTGCTGTCTCTTGTCCTGGTGAGGGGAAGAGAAGCCCTCCAGACATTTCTTTAGGTTGGAGACAGTCTTGGAGACCCCTTCTTAAGCTCACGTGTGAGCTTTGCTTGTGGCAGTGGTCTTTAGGCCATTCACCCGTAAAAGAATCTCTCGGCTGTTCCCTTGCCTAGTAAAGAACTGTAGAATTATTTAGGTTGGAAGGGACCTCTGGAAGTCATCTCATCTATTCCCCCCCCGCTTTGAAACAGGGCCAGCTTTAAGTCAGATACCACCAATATCTTTACAGGGTTCTCACTTTTCCTCATAAATCATACTTTCTCCAGTTCATCGTTACTGATAGTATAGAATCAACTCTGTGTTGTAGAAACAGTCTCATCTGTGTAAGTAGGGAGCACGGAGCACTTCTGAACACTGTATGTTACTGCCTCTCTGCAGAAGGGGTTTATCGTTATTCCCACTTTACATACGCAGGCTGAATACAAAACAGTGCTGTGGTTTCACGGTTTCTCATAGGGCAGTGGTCATCCAGCTGGCTAGTGTCAGATTTGGAAAACTGAGCTGATATCTCCTGGGTCCCATAGAGTGCTCTGTAAATACTATGCAGTAATCTCTTGGTTGTACGAGTCATTTTTCTGGGCCGTGTCACAGAATCCCAGAAGGGCTGAGGTTGGAAGGGATCTCTGGAGGTCATTTTGTCCAACGCCCCCCTGCTCAAGCAGGGCCACCTAGAGCCAGTTGGCCAGGACTGTGTCCAGATGGCTTTTGAATATTTCCAAGAAGGGAGACTCCACAACCTCTCTGGGCAACATGTGCCAGTGCTCAGTCACCCTCACTAAAAAAGTGTTTCCTGATGAGGAGCACACCACCTGAGCCGCCATGCCCTTGACTACTGCCCTGCAGAGCTCCGTAGTCGCTTTTAATACTGTCCAGGTGTCTCGCAGTATCATTTGTGCCCACATGAAATAACAACAGGGCATAGTAGTCAGAGGGCCAGACAAGCCCCACAGCATCCCAGATCCTGGCCCCTGGCAGACAGCAAACCTCTCTAGATGATTGCTTGGGTCGGCAGGCGGGTGCCTGTGTCCCCCACAGCAGGGAGTCACCCGTTACAGTGACTTGCCGCTTCTTCCTGGTAGTCTTGGTTTCGGTATTAGGTGGACCGGATACTTTTGTCGTTGGCACATCTGGCTCCTTTTCAGCTTTGAGGGAGATGAACCTCTTTAGCAGTTGTAAGCCCTGTGGGGGAAGACCCTTCCTCTTGGTGTCAGAAGTTACCAGCTTCCATCCTTCCCCAGAGGTTTCTCTTCCCTTGGTAGTGGGGGTTGACACTACCTGCTTCTCTACTGCAAGCTGTTGGGTTGCAGAGAAGGTCCTCTCTCCCTTTGATCTTCTCTGATGCTGTGCAGCTTGCTCATGTCCTCCCATCCCTCCTCCACTTGGAGGCAGCACAGCTCCTGCAGGACCGAGGGTCATCTCCTGGCACCAGAGAGAGCCCCCAGGCATTCCCTGCAGCCTGGGACTTGGAGGGCTGCGTCCGCCATCTGAAGCTCAGTCCGGGTGCAAGCCTCGACCCTAGCAGGGACGGCTACTCCAACAACTGCTCGGGAGGATGCTCAGTGACATGTTACCACCGTGTCTGAGACTGTTACTGTGGCACAATTTCAACAGAGGCCCCCTTACTTCACCCCCTTCTGCGCGTCCTGCTGCGCTAACTGCTGGGTCTGTTGGCTGCCTCTGTCAGCTGCGCTCTCTTAAGCCGCTGTGTGTAAAGGTTCTGCGCACTCAGTCCAAGGGGAACAGTTAGGAAAAGTTGACCTTGCTAAATAACAAGAGAGCTTAGTGCCTGTGCATTTGTAAACTTCAATATTTTGTTTTCCTTTTAAAGCAAGGCATAGGCTGGTTTTATGGAGTACTGAGTTAGAAATTAACTTGTGACTAAGAGGTGTCTTATTGGTTCCAAAGCCAATTTTGTTCAAAATTGCTAGGTTCTATGGCATGCGAGTCCCCTCTTTTGGCTGTCCTGTTCTACTTCGATAGCAGCATTATAAACATTAAATAGTTTACAAATTCTAGTGACTAAGTCTCAGAAGTTATAAATTTTGCAGATTAAGCAATCAGAATTTAAGAAATTTACAAGCTCTGCTGATCACCTATAATTTTGAATGAAGAATGAGTTGGTCCAGATGTTTTCACTCTTCTGTCACAATCCTAATCCAATTTTTGCTGCAATATTTTTCTTCTATTCCTTGTGCTCTTGGCTGAGTACCAAATGCATTTCTCATTAGCAAGCAATGGTATTAAAATCTTTTTTTTTTTCTCCGAAGATCACTTTAGGTCTCAATTTCTGTAGATAAAGTTGAAGAGTTATATGTCTATGTACACTAGCTTTTAAGGGAACAAGATTTTACATGTCCTTAGTTCACTGTTCCTTTCTACTTTCTTTACAGAGTGCCTGGAATAACAATTGCTACAGACATCATCTGTGGGTTTCCAGGAGAGACAGATGAAGATTTTCAAGAAACAATGAAACTTGTAGAACAGTACAGGTTTCCGAGCTTGTTTATTAATCAATTTTACCCACGCCCAGGAACACCGGCTGCAAAAATGCATCAAGTTCCAGCTACAGTGGTAAGATCTATTTTCTTGTGCCACTGTACATGGTGTACTCAGATGAATACATAAAGCATGTACATGAAAATGTAGATTTTCTGCAGAACTATGCTACAATTCAATTAAAGAGGCTTTTTTTTTTCAGTCCAGTAAGTGAAATGATTGTTGAATTGCCTTTAGAGGTTAGCTAGATCACTGAATGCATTTTCATATATAAATTACTGTTCAGATTGTTAGGAAGGGTAAAACAGCGGTTATACTAAAGTCATGTCTTCTTTCTATCAAGTTTTGGCTGAATGAGTACAAAGAGTGGTAGCTGATTACGTGTATTTTTTTTCCATTTTAAGATTTTTGTGACTCCAGCAATCTCAAACTTATTGTAAATAATTATGCAAAGTATTAATAATAAAGCAATGATAATCTTTGATTTATTTGTCAAATATCAAATCTGCAGGCAACTTCTTCTCAAGACTGTCCTTATACACTGCTTAAAAACTCTGCTTCCTTCAGCCTGCATGTTAAAGGCCATTGATAAAACTGGCATTTAATCTTTCGGGTTTTCAGCTGGTTTCTTTCTTTCCGTTTTTGAGTGAGAAGTGTAACCCTTCCTGATACCAACATTCTTATCTCAAATTCCCATGAGGAAAACGGCCTGTTTTGATGTAGAAGGTAGATGGCTATTGACTGTATTTTGCTTCATATAAATAGCTATTTATAAGCAATAACAACAGCAATGGTTTGATTTATTTTTAAAAAATTGAATTTGTAATTTTTGTAATCTAAATATCAAAACAAGAAAGTATACAAGACTGATGCCTGTACAATAATTCAACTCATTATTATCTCATTATTATGGGCATAAATAACATTCGTATTTCTTTTCTGTGTAAGAATGAAAGTCAGCCAACAATGTAAATCAGTTTAAATAAAAAACCGTTTCTTTCAATTTATGTATCCTGGTACACCAACAGGAAGTCAAAACTACATATCAGTACTTGTATCCCTTTGCTTATACATCTGAAATCTAAACAATTTCTGCTTACTCTCGATATATAGCACAAATTCCATAGGATGTGTCAGCTGCTGAAGACATAAAATTATATTATATTTGGCTTCTTCAGTTTATTGTTTAGAGAAGTACAGCTTAAGTAATGACTGCTCATTTACTGTAGGCTATCTCATAATGGGAAATACTGAGTTTCCAAATATAAGTAGCTGCTGTTGATATAGTCTACTCAGTGTAACCAACTCACATTGTTGAATTATTTTTATTAGTTTTGAATGCTTTTTACAAACGTTTTTAATTTAAAAAATGCAGAAATGTAATTTTTGGAAGTTAGGAAGCTTAAAAATCAAAACATTGATTTATGTTCCTGGTTTGCATTCTTTCATCCACAAGTTTTTCAGTGTGCTATTTTCACAGGAGGTGCAAAGAGCTTAAGTTAATTTACCCTCTTCTGTTTAACTGGGTGCCCTGGGAAGACAATATGTGAAGAGCTAAATTATTAAAAAAACATTAGCTTTTCTGTGGTTAGGAGTGTTACTTGGAAAATGGTAGTGTCATTTTAACCCAGTTTTACATTCTTTCTTCCTATTTGTAGAACTAGTATTATTGCTTTCAGTGAATTAGAACCTTCAAAGAAGATGGGGCTTCTAATCCAGAACTGATGAAAATCTGTAATTAACAGATTTTGTTTCTCTCTTTTTTTTTGGCCCCCCCCCCCCCCCCCCGCAGTCCTTCAAAAATCCTGTGTTGTGAGATCCTTTGTTCTTTTATCTCTTTGTAGAAATGGAGAATAACTAGTCAGACAGAGCAGGAAAGGCTTGTGTTAATCTCTTACATTTTGTATTCACATTACTTCTAGATAAAAGCTGATGGTCTTTCCTGCGTTACCAAGAATGGACGGGCATTTCATTTGTCATTCCTTGCGTAGAGTAATTTATGTTTCTCTGCTAGGAGAAGGAAGTAGCATGTTACCATCTATGTTATGCACTCTTACCCCTTCATCCTTTAATAAAATATTATTTGTGCCATCTTTCTGTTAATGCATTTATTTTATTGCATTTGCATAGGGAAAGAAATAGTACATAAAGTGACATACAACTGCTATGTGCAAGCGTCTGAGTGTACAGGTGGTACATTGTATTATCAGCCTGAACTTGTGAGCTAGTGCTTTTACAGAATGTTCATAACATTATCCTCTGCAGTGGATCTGTTGGTAGGATTTCTTTTTATGAAAAGAATTTCGACTGTATTATTTAACTACAGACGCTGAACCAGTGAGCAAGTTATCTGACAGTTGTTATCCTTGTCTTTTTTTCTAAAGACTGGGTGTATTTGCTATGTTATTTCAGCTTTGCAATACTTCTGCAATGGATGGATCTATTGCTATTTGCAAACTGCTCCACTTCAGTGAGTTCCACTTCAACTCTGGTTCAAGACAGCTTCAGTGATTCTGCCCAAGTATCACAGCTGCAATAATAACGTATTTGCCTTGTCAGTTCCGTTTAAGTTAGCTCTTTTTAGGAAGGTCTTATGACTTCTAGGGACAGTCTGTGGAGTATTAAGCTTAGTAACATTTCGTGCTTTCAAATTTTTAGTGGATGGTTTTGATGGAAGTCGTTGCCTTCTTGGAGAAAACCCTCATTTGAGTTTATCTTAATAGAAAAAAAAATTGGTAGGTCAGCATGGAATCTTCCCTTCACATAGATAATTTATCTTTGAAAGCCTTACAAGCACTGATATTTTTCTAAAAGGGCAGATGACACTAATCCAGATGGACAGTTCTGCCACCATAAATTCAGAAAAGACAGTTAAGGCTGCAGGCCTTTCTTGTTTCTCCTGAAGAAAAAGTGTCCATGGAGAATCAGACATCTGTCTAAATGGTCTCATCATTTCATAACCATCAATTAGATTATGCTTACCATAAATGCTGTCTCCAGTTTAGAGAAAAGTTAGAGCACAGTTAAGCAAAACTAGGCATGATTTTGGTTGCGTTTTTTTTATAAGCAATTGCAGTGATGCTGAGTCATGTACATGAAAATGAAGTCAAGATGTTGTTCAGAACTTAAATGCTACCCTAAAATTCTGTTTTTCCTGGCTTTTACCCCCATTTTATCCACCTACTGCTAAATACATTGTTTCAGAGATGAGTCTGGATGCTCGTTGTCTCCAGTGAGCTGTCTGTAGGAAATTTTCACTCTGAAGTGTGTTAACTATGAAATGCTATTTTGTAGATGATGATGATTATTATTATTATAGATCTGGATTTCTCCATTTCCCTATTGCATTCAATCATAAAAGTTATATTGCTGATAGTTGCATAACTCAAATTACAGATTCTAGTCAGATAAATATTTTAATAAGCAATGTAAAAGAACATGATTTAGATGTGTCTGGTAGGGATTTTATATTTAGCTGCATTGCAAAGGATCAGAATGCTTTAATTCTAAGTGTAAAAATTACTCTTTGTCTCTCAAATTAAGGATCTGTAACACCTTATATTCTTGATAATTGAATTTCTCTGTGCTTTATTTTTTTCAAGGTAGCTATTACTTGTCTGGGGACTTGTGAGGAGACTTCTCTCTCTGTCCTTGAGATTTGGTCCATCGCAATTTCTGCAAGCATTAGGGGACATCATCATCTCAAGATCAGCTTGATTTCCATTACATGGAAACATGAGGAAGTAGCCATTTTGAAAATAGGGATAGTAGTAAGGTACAATTAGGTTCATCTCTACTGAGAATAGGAGATGGCAGCTGTTTTGAGAGCAGTAATGTGACTGCAGCTTTATGATTACACTGCCCTCAACTGCAGTGTCGATTCCAGTCTTTCTATATGTATTTTCAATAGTGTGAGCAATTCAGTTTCAGTTATTGGTAAATTTATTAGATTTTTTTTAAAAAAAGCATTGTGATGTCTAGATAAAAGACTATATATTCACTTTCCTTACAATCTCTTTCCTTCTCTCTTTCTGTATATCATCAAATAATTACCTTGCTCCAAGCTAGAAAATTTTGTCAATTACTGAACATTTCCTTTAATTCATCTGAAGAGTGTCTCCTTAAATTTTTCTCTCTATATTAGTTGTATTAAGCACTGTCCTTACTATACAATAGGGATAGCATAATGCCGTATGTACCTTCTCAGTGTTTTCTGCCAGACAAGTTGTATTTGATCATTTCTGTGGGAGCAAACCAACTATCTTGTATTTTATGCCTTTATTCTAGGTTGGCTACATATTTTTTATAGACTGCTTTGCTTTTGCTTCCTTCTAAGAGGTCTCCAAGAAGTTTCCTGACACCCTTTCATGACTGACTGGCTGCAGATCCCCCATATCTCTCTTCACCAATTAAAATTCTGCAAGGCACTGGAAATAGATATTCTTGGATACCAGCAGATTCAGTATGATGTTTAATTCCTCCTTTGCTGGATTGATACAGGTTTTGTAGTTCTGAATCTCCACACACAAACAGCTGAACCTTCTGTGGTAGCTCATGTTGCTCTTACCTATTCAAAATCAATAATTGTCTGTGTTGCCAAACTGTCCCTGCCTGATTGAGAAGTAACCACATTCCTGCATCGGGCAGTATTAGCTGTCTTCTCCTTCTTCACTTTTTAACACCAAGCAGCAGGACAGCAACTGGAATAGCATTGCTTGTGCAAGGGACACTTTTTGCTCTGTTCACAACTCTAAAGGAATGGGAGCACAGCTGAACCTTGCAGTTGTACCATCAAAGAAAAGGCTAGTAAGGTCCCTGTTGAGCAGACGGACAGTAAGGAGAGATGACAATTGAGGGCTGCTCTTGCCCTTGAGCATGTGCTTCAGGTGTTAGTGGGTACTGATGTGGCACAGTGTGCCTCGGGAAGCCAGGGCCGGAGCTAGGGCAAGGAAAGAATTCATCTGCTGTCTGGGATGGATTTAGAAATAAAAATAACTTTATAGAGTTTTATGTACTCTGTGATATGCAAGAGGACCAATTGCACTGTTAATCACTTGCAGGTGAGAGAGTGCAAC